AAACTTGAAATGTAAGTTTATAACACAAAGATCTCGGTTCCTTTTGATATTCGCGCATATCGGACCGTAACTTCATGAATTATGGCCCCTGATTGTACGCAAAAACGAGTTTTTGGGCTTGTGGACCCTATAGAGGTCATAATTTTTATCCGATTTTAACCGTGTTAATATATCACCGTTACACCCTAAGGATGGCTGAGTAGAATTTCGTGAAAATCGGCCCAAAACTGACAGACAAAATGACCCTGTTCGTTCTCAAATAGCGTAAAAATATGGTATATCAAGGTTGTGGACCCTATAGAGGTCACAATTTTTATCCGATTTTGTTGAAACTTAAAATGTAAGTTTATAACACAAAGATCTCAGTTCCTTTCAATATTCGTGCTCATCGGACCGTAACATCTTGAATTATGGCCCCTGATTGTACCAAAAATCGTGTTTTTAGCTTGTGGACCCTATAGAGGTCATAATTTTTATCCGATTTAAAAAAAAACGTTCAATTATATCACCGTTACACCCTAAGGATGGCTGAGGTTGAATTTCGTGAAAATCGGCCCGAAATTGACAGACAAAATGGCCGCCGTTCGTTCTCAAATAGCGTAAAAATATGGTATATCAATGTCAATTGTTATCCGATTTTGTTGAAACTTGAAATGTAAGTTTAAAACCCAAAGATCTCGGTTCCTTTCGATATTCGCACATATCGGACCGTAACTTCCTGAATTATGGCCCCTGATTGTACGAAAAATTGCGTTTTTAGCTTGTGGACCCTATAGAGGTCATAATTATTATCCGATTTAAAAAATCATATTATTATATCACCGTTACACCCTAAGGACGACTGAGTTCGAATTTCGTGAAAATCGGCCCAAAACTGACAGACAAAATGGCCGCCGTTCGTTCTCAAATAGCGTAAAAATATGGTAAATCAAGGTTGTGGACCCTATAGAGGTCACAATTTTTATCCGATTTTGTTGAAACTTGAAATGTAAGTTTATAACCCAAAGATCTCGGTTCCTTTCGATATTCGTGAATATCGGACCGTAACTTCCTGAATTATGGCCCCTGATTATACGAAAAATTGCGTTTTTAGCTTGTGGACCCTATAGAGGTCATAATTATTATCCGATTTTTTTGAAACTTGAAATGTAAGTTTAAAACCCAAAGATCTCGGTTCCTTTCGATATTCGCGCATATCGGACCGTAACTTCCTGAATTATGGCCCCTGATTGTACGAAAAATTGCGTTTTTAGCTTGTGGACCCTATAGAGGTCATAATTATTATCCGATTTAAAAAATCATATTATTATATCACCGTTACACCCTAAGGACGACTGAGTTCTAATTTCGTGAAAATTGGCCAAAAACTGACAGATAAAATGGCCGCCGTTCGTTCTCAAATAGCGTAAAAATAGGGTATATCAAGGTTGTGGACACTATAGAGGTCACAATTTTTATCCGATTTTGTTGAAACTTGAAATGTAAGTTTATAACCCAAAGATCTCGGTTCCTTTCGATATTCACGCATATCGAATTGTAATTTCCTGAATTATTGTCCCTGATTGTACGAAAAATCGCGTTTTTAGCTTGTGGACCCTATAGAGGTCATCATTTTTATTTGATTTTAAAAAACGTATTATTATATCACTGTTACACCCTAAGGACGACTGAGTTCGAATTTCGTGAAAATCGGCCCAAAACTGACAGACAAAATGGCTGCCCCTTGTTCTCAAATTGCGTAAAAATATGGTTGTGGACCTTATAGAGGTCACAATTTTTATCCGATTTTGATGAAACTTGAAATGTAAGTTTATAACTCAAAGATCTTGGTTCCTTTCGATATTTGCACATATCGAATTGTAATTTCCTGAATTATGACCCTTGATTGTAGGAAAAATCACTTTCGTTTTAGCTTGTTTTCTATCCATCTCTCGAAAATGTGGGCGTATCCTGCCTGGCAGCCGCTGGTTTTCAAATATTAGGGCTTGGTCACCTTTCACGAATACATCACAATGTTATATTAAACATACATTATGCAAGAGCTAAATCTGCCTATTGCAGGTCTTTCATTAGGCCTGAAATGTTATCTAAATTATTAATTAACTTATCCAGACCATAATCAACACTCGATGGCATCGCTAGCCTGCGATGATTATTGTCCCCCGCCTTTCGAAGAAAGCAGGGGACTATTAAAATGGGTTCGTCTGTCTGTCTGTCTGTCCGTTTGCCTGTCTGTCTGCCCGTCACACTTTTTGGGACACAATAACTCTCTTTTTAATTGAGCTAGAATGTTCAAACTTGGTGTAGATTTTTATTAGATCGATGCCTTGATGGAGTTCAAAAATGAGCATTTTCGGCTTAGGGTAAGCAGAGATAAGCAATTTGATTGGTTGATGCTTTGGGACACGATAACTTTAGTTCTAATTAAGTGAGAGTGATGAAACTTGGTGTATAGTTTCGTTACCATTACCATGACTAAGTTCGATAATGAGTATTTTCTGCTTAGGGTAAGCAGAGTGATAAGCAATTTGATTGGTCGAGACCTTGAAACACAATGTTCAACTTCCATTCATAATTAAATCAAAAAATGGATAATCAAGACTATGTTTTTTTATCCTACCGACTTTAGTAATGATGATCGAGGCTAGCCACAATATTCAATACATCTCCCATAATGTATCTTTAATTAAAATGAATAAATTAAATAAGAAGAATCCTATTCAATTTCAGCAATGTCTAGAGTTATGGCCCTTGTTTCACTTTGTTGAACTTTGTGAACGCTCTAACGCCAAAAGTTATCATCTGATCTGTATTAAATTTATACGCATCATTTAGATTGGTGAAACCACAAAGCCAATTGAAATTCAGCAATTTACAATAATTACTTCTAGAATTATGGCCTTTGTTTCGCTTTGTTCAACCTTGGTAATGCTTGATTGATGAAAGTTATCATCCGATATGTATGAAATTTATATGCATCATTTAAATTTGTGAAACGGAGGTCTATTGAATTTCAGCAATTTCCGTCAATTATTTTACTTTGTGAACCTTGTGAACGTTCGAATGACAAAAGTTATCATTACATTAATACCTTGACTAAGTTTGATAATGAGCATTTTTTGCTCGGGGTAAGCAGAGCGATAAGCAATTTGATTGGCCAAGATTTTGGAACACAAAAACTCTCCTTCTGATTGAGCTAGAATGTTCAAACTTGGTGTAGGTGTTTATTGGGTCAATGCCTTGATGGAGTTTGAAGATGAGCATTTTCTGCTTAGGGTAAGCAGAGATAAGCAATTTGATTGGTTAATGCTTTAGGACAAGATAATCTTGATTCTATGTGATAGAGAGTGATGAAACTTAGTGTGTAGTTTGATTGCTCGATAATTTTGAAAAAAATAAATGTGCGATTAATTAAAGATACATTATGGGATATTAGATAACGAGTTGGCAGTTCTCAGTATAATAGTTAAAAACTAGATAATGTAAAGGCAATTTGCTGAAAATTTCAGTCAAATTGATCCACTATGAACTGAGAAATAAGCAATCGAAAGTTCCGCATAGCTTCGGTCATCATTACTAAAGTCGGTACGACAAAAATCATAGTCTCGATTATCCATTTAATCATTAAAACGAGAAGGAAAGTTATGCAGCAAATCGGATCATAATCCATCAAATATCGCAGGCTAGCGTTGACATCGAGAGTTGATTATGGTCTGGATACATTAATTAATGTCTATTTAATAGTTTATATAACATTTCAGGCCTGAAGAAAGACCTACAATAGGCAGATTTAGCTCTTGCCTAATGTATGTTTTATATGTGTCATCTATTTATTTTGGGATTTCGGCGGGGGACATCCGCCTCACTGTTGGCTTCTTTGAACCGATTCACATGCAACCGAACCGTGACAAGTAATATGGGTAACCATTTACATACATGATAAAAGTCGGCTTCAGCCACTTGATGTTTGAAAAAGACGATTGATAAAAGAATTATTATACCGGCCCCTATGGTATCCATCTACTTTCTGCTAAATTACAACAGGTTAATTATTACTTGTTGATAAGAAGCTTTCTAAGTTACTTAAAATATAGGGATTTAGTGAAGTGGAACAAATTTTTCTAATGTTTAAATGGGGACACCATGGGATTAAAGTCATAAACACTTAACCTCAAAATATAATATGAAATATAAAAGAATATAAATTAGTCAAATTATTTCTTTGAAAAAAATTCATTCGCTGTAATTTCACTCTAAGTGGAAATGAATAATAGCACCATTTAAATCTGAATAAAACATGGGTTACGCAATGGTCATCTGGCGTAACCAAAGAAAATGGTTACGTAGAGCATAAACCTGCAAACATTTTTCTGGCTAGGCCAAAGTTTGAAATTTCGTGGCCTGATTGTCATTATTATTGAAAGCTAATTCCTAGTGGTACAGAATTTTATTTTATAAAGCAAATCAATTATGGTTGTTACATGATCAACGAATGAATAAAAACTTTGCAAGCTACGTGACGAATACAAAAATTTGTGTTAAATATGAAGACATGCCATGGTGCAGTATCAGCTATTGCTCACGTAAGCTGAATTTGCATGAGTAAAATTAACCACTCGCCATACTCGTGCAAGGTTAGTTTTGCATGAGTGCTTAATTGCTCGCCATCATTTTCTTCGTGGCAAGCCCTTTTAGCCTAGTTGGTGCACGCAGAATCTGGGCTGTTACAGTTACACCCCAATTCATTTTGTCTTATGTCATTTTAGAGTTCTACTTTATTAATGCAGAACATCCTAAAGTATTCACATAAACGAATGTTGGAATGTTTTAATTATACACAATCTAATTTGAACACTTTATTTGCAATATTGCGGTTTATAGTTTACTGTTCAATTTAACCGTGCTCATTTCTAGATTCTGAATAAACATTTAAAAATATTGAATGAACAAACACCAATAGAATTAAAAATGATTATCGTTTTTTGTTTTTTTTTCTTCAGATAAATCACAGGGGAAAGAATTCACAAACAATTTTGAAGATGATGTATCTAAAATAGAAGCTACTGTTAACTATCTGGAACAAGATGTAAATGATCGAGGAGAAATAATCGATTTAGCAGAAACTAGTGAATTATATTATGATGACAATTATCGAGAGGCTAAAAGAGTTGCCATTGTAAGATCTTAATTTGATGAATTATCTACTTTAAATTGGGATTGTCAAATTAGGTGCCAATATACTTCAATAACAGATAACCCAATTAAATGCATCCAAATCCCCCCCAAAAGCCTATATAACCAATGGGCTGGCACTTTTTATACACCCACATTGAAATGTGGTCGTATATTGTAGTAGCCCCGTCCGTCCGGCGGTTCGGCGTCCACAATTGCTTGTGGACGCTCTAGAGGCTAAAGTTAATATCCGATTGACTTCAAATTTATACACAGTGTTTAAGGTCATGAGACGAAGAAGCCATTGATTTTCAGCGATTTCCGATAATTACTGCCAGAGTTATGGCCCTTGATCGCTTCAAAAAATCTTGTGGACGCTCTAGAGGTCAGAGTTAATATCCGATTGACTTTAAATTTATACACAGTGTTTAAGGTCATGAGACGAAGAAGCCTATTGATTTTCAGCAATTTCCGATAATTACTTCCAGAGTTATGGCCCTTGATCACTTTGAAAAATCTTGTGGACGCTCTAGATGCTAAAGTTAATATCCGATTGAGTTTAAATTTATACAGTGTTTAAGGTCATGAGACGAAGAAGTTTATTCATTTTCAGCGATTTTCAATAATTACTGCCAGAGTTATGGCCCTTGATCACTTTGAAAAAATCTGGTAAAGGCTCTAGAGGCTAAAGTTAATATCCGATTGACTTTAAATTTATACACAGTGTTTAAGGTCATAAGACGAAGCAGCCTATTGATTTTCAGCGATTTCCAATAATTACTGCCAGAGTTATGGCCCTTGATCACTTTGAAAAATCTTGTGGACGCTCTAGAGGCTAAAGTTAATATCCGATTGAGTTTAAATTTATACACAGTGTTAAAGGTCATGAGACGAAGATTTTCGATAATTACTGCCAGAGTTATGGCCCTTGATCACTTCAAAAAATCTTGTAAATGCTCTAGAGGCTAAAGTTAATATCCGATTGACTTTAAATTGATACAGAGTGTTTGAGGTCATGAGAGGAAGAATTATATTGATTTTCAACGATTTCCGATAATTACTGCCAAAGTTATGGCCCTTGATCACTTTTAAAAACATTGTGACCCTCTAGAAGCTAAAGTTATCATCTGATTGACTTCAGATTCATACACAGAGTTTAAGGTCTTGAGACAAACAAGTATATTGATTTGCAATGAATTTTTATGACTTGAACAGCTAAATCCATGATGTTAAAAGTTTCCTATACTAAACGTTAGCATGGGGCAAAACTTTATAAAAACCAAACCAATTCTAATGGTTTTCTGATAATTACTTAATGAGTTGTTACTCTTAATCAAATTTTAATGTATTATAAATGTTTCATTACCGAAAAAGTAAAAATATGTGACAATTCTTGTTGACTGCCCGGACGATTTAGCTTCTGTGGGGGTATGTTTCGTTGCCTGGCAACCTATCTTTATGAATATAGCAGAATTATTACAACAAAAAATTTTCCATTGGTGCCATCTTGGTATGTATATACACAAACTAACAATTTACTTTCAGGCATATAAAAATTTTGGTACCCGAATCAACAATATGAAAAGAAAGTTAGATGATATTAAAAATAAATTTCCTGGAACACCAAGTCCTGTAGCCTCACCTATATTAGATGCTCCATCGCCAGAACCCACGCCACCACAATCAGATCCTAATGATTATACTAATACTATAGATATGGACGTAGACTCGGGTGATGAAAAGAAATCAAGAAAAGGTGGGTGTAATCCAAATTATTAAAGCAAACACTAGCATCTTGTAATTTCAATCTGGGAATTAAAGGTTGACTTTTCCCATATTTGTTAACATTTGATTTATTAATATACTATACTATTTAAATTTAAAGATGCTTTCCTGGACATAAACTGTGTGATTTGATGATACTTTTAGACCAATAACATATTCAAAATAGTTTGCATCAAAATCAAATCCCTCTCAAAACATTTTAATCGTAAGACAACTACCTCATGCCGCAATAATCTATTTTTAGTAGTCTTGTTTGTCACATGACTTCATTGAGGCAGAATCCATTAAGCTTATATTTGTCATTAGTCTCTGTCCATTTACCATAAATATTGAGCCAAAGTACATTCTTGGATTATCCTTTGCCAACTTCTTTTTCCAACGTTTAATCACAAAGTCTACTGAGCATTAAAGTTTCTCAGTGTTCTCACAATCAACACATACAAAAGTGTCATCCTGTAAACACCCCATGGGTATTTTTCCAGGGAATCCATTATATTTCTAGTAAGATTGAGTGTCTCTACTTTCTATATATGGGTCACTTTTTGGTATTGTGCACAAAAGTGTGACATTATTGCTAGAAAATAAATCTTCACTAATTTTGCTTAAATTTATCTGCATACAAATAAAAATATGTAACATTTTCATATTTTAGAACGAAAACATAATGTAAGTTCTGAGAATTAAAAAAATTCTGATTTTATGCCTCAATGTTTAGGGGTTGCGCATGTTACACAGGACATAAATAGTGACTCAGGTTTGGTACAATTTTTGAAAATGTACACAATTTTTCATGTGCTATATCAGAACTCAGTTCATCTGACCAAAAATATAACAACAGCATCCAGATTTTTTACGCTTTTAAGACAAAAATACTTCAAAACCAAAAACTACAAACCTTATTGCGCGTACAATGTTTAGTCACATTTTACCATGGCAATAACATTTAATCTCTATTTATCAATTCTAATGTTAAATAATAAGCCTTATAATGGACTCCAATGTTACTGGTTTTAATTCCAATTTGTCTTTCTTGGTTTCAAGAAAATTAATTGGTTGCGTATGTTACATTTTTATGATGGGACACCAAAATAGAAAAACACAAATTACATTTAACGTTTTCTTTATTATAAAAATAACAAATCCAGAAAAACTGGTGCCAATAATTCATTAAACAAATTTAAACAACTGAAACCGGTTACAACTTTTATTTTCCACAATTGGCGGGGATTTAGTTTTTTTGTTATGGAATGAACCATTTCCCAACTTTGATTCTCCCTTGTTGGCCAACGCTAAAAATCCCCAGACTGTTCCATATATTGGAGAAACACCTCACCCCCCTTGATTTCCAGGATCTGAAAAATATAATTATAAATTATAAATTGATGTTAATATTGAACTCAAAAGGGAAGCTAGCTTAAATTGCATTGCCTGTCAACAGTCTTATAAAAGTAGCAATGTACTTTTATTGTTTCTAAATTATAGGCTAAAATAAGATATTTTTAAACAAAGTACCACAGACTACATCAAAATATTTTTAAACAAAGTACCACAAAATATACTAGATTTATTTTATATTAGTAATAGAACCCGAAAAAGTGATTTACCGACGTTACACGGAAGCCAAGCATTAAATGTGAAATTACTGAAATATCATTGGACGTACTTCACACGGCTCTCGTACGGTGAACATACACAGTGAATTTCATTAACGAAGATAATTATCTTCCATCATATCGTCTGTTTTTTCATAACATACATTGTTCTTTCAATTTATTAGGCATTTTTTAAATGTATACTCACAATTCTTACCGACGTTACAGCTTTCACACCGGACGGGACACAACAAGACCAAAGATGAAACAAATTCCGTATGCAGTCATCACGTGATTCCAAGTAAACAAAACTACCGGCAATGTCGTAAATATCTATTTTTAGAAACAAACGAGCGCTTACAGCGATGGATGGGTGATCGAAGGAAGTAAATGTTTTACCGACGTTACAAATGAAAATAGGACACGAATAAATGTATCAATGAATGACCTTTGGTTTTTTTTCATTACATTATAATTTTGGCTTGTCATGCAAAGGTATATTCTTTAGAACGACCGAATTCAACATTCTAAAATAACATTCGTAGGTTTATCGGGCCATTGCGGTTTCCAACACAAAACATTTTTTTAATATTTGATGGACACGAAATGTAACGTGCGCAACCTCATAGTCAGATGAACGTAAAAAAAAATCAACAAACAGGGGAGTGTCAAATATGGTTTTAAATGATGATTTGAACTATTATTTATTTCATTAAAAGTCAGCATGCTTCATTTCTTTGCCTGTAATACTTGCAATCATGGAATGAAAAGTTTCAGATTTCCATGTCACAATTTTGCAAGTTGAAAATAACGAATTTTGACAATTGTTGATAGATAAAAAATTTTAAAAAATATTTACTGAACCAGTTTTATTTTCAATATTACAGCAGGTATTGGTGCATGGATGGAAAATAATGAAATATTTGAAATATCAAAATTTTAATTATAAATCGAATTTATATTAAAACATTCGAAAAGTGCCCAATACTGAAAAGTGACCCATATATATATATACCGGCTACCCTATCAATACGCGATTTTTGAGGCAATAAATTTGTTCACAAAAAGTTTTCTAAGCTTTATTTTTCATGTTGTCCATCTGTTCCGATCCATTACATATGCTTAGACAATTATCACTAAATTGCGTTGTCAATAATAGAGAGATCTATTGTCTATTAAAGATACATTATGGGAGATTAGATAAAGAGCTGGCAGTTCTCACTATAATAGTTAAAAACTACATAATGTAAAGGGAATTTGCTGAAAATTTCAGTCAAATTGATCCCTCTGAACTGAGGTTTTAGCAATTGAATTTTCGGCCTAAGCTCGATTATCATTACTAAAGTTGGTATGATAAAAAACATAGTCTTGATTATCCATTTCATGATTAAATCCTGAATGAAAGCTGAGCAGCAAATGGGATCTTAATCCAGTAAATATCTCAGGCTAGTGTTGACATCGACAGTTGATTATGGTCTGGATAAGTTAATTAATGTCTAGTTAATAATTTAGATAACATTGCAGGCCTAAAGAAAGACCTACAATAGGCAGATTTAACTCTTGCATAATGTATGTTTAATCAATCTCGGGTTAGTGTTGATTAATGTTTACAGTAAAAGTAATAATCTATACTAATATTTGTGACTGTCGTTTGTCTGTCTGTTCGGGGTTGGCGGCTACACTAGGTCTGCCCCGAGTCTGAAATTTGGGGTATAGGGGTAGCTCGGACCAGGGAGTAACATAGGCCAGGTGGCATTAGTCTACCACTTCCGGTTGTGGAGTTATGACCCCCAAGTGAAGCGGGGTTGTCGGCTACACTAGGTCTGCCCCGAGTCTGAAATTTGGGGTATAGGGGTAGCTCCGACCGGGGAGTAACATAGGCCAGGTGGCTTTAGTCTATCACTTCCGGTTTCCGAGTTATGACCCCCGAGCGAAGCCGGGTATCCTGCTAGTAAACTAATAAAGATACAAAAGACTATGAACGGTACTTGTTTTCTTGTTTGTGATTATTTGTAGTGATGGTCCGATATGGCTACTATCGGTTTTACCCATATCAGATATTGACAGCGAAATATATATTAGCCGATACAATTACAATTACCGATAGTAAAATGTACCAAATGTTTTGATAATCTAATCGGTGTAGATGCATGTCATTGTTAGTCGGAAAATGCCTGGTACTATTTTACCTCTGGAATCAAACCTGACCCGATGTTTTTTGAAAGAATAATTGGGTCACGGCTTCCTACACAGTCAAAAATACACACAATCTATTGTGAACTTAGTTATTTGCTGTATGATTAATTAATAAAGTCGAGATTATCAATTTATTACGATATAATTCCGTAAATTGATTTGCACCTGTATGTCTATAATAGATGTCAGAATAGTTTATGGGGTAATGATATGACATCAAACCGATAGTTTCCCATCCGTCACGTGACATTCTCCTGCCATTTCTATAACTAGGGTTGAAAATAAAACCATCTATTGGGAACTTAACTTGTGTGTTTGTAATATTAAGAATTAATAAAGTATGATCAATATTATGAGTTGTTAATGTTGTTAATGATACAAATGTCTACATTTTTAATGTATGAAAGGGGCCTTTGCAACGTACTGCTGTGTTCTGATCATCAGGCTTATTCCTTATTCCAGTCAGAAGTTTTATCGGTTGACTGTTGTACGTTAAAGTCTGTTTGAACATGCACAGAAATGGTATTCTGAAAAAACACATGTCTACCTATACTCTCAAACAATATGTGAATATTGGATTTTAAAAAAAATAACCTAGACTGGTAAGGATTTTGATCTGTTTATTCTTTCCTTTTCACGGCCTTCTATGAGAGTGTCTTGTATTATGTCTAAATAGCCACACGGACGGCAACAAAAATAAAGATACCAAGGGTCAACCAAAATAATGATTTGTTTACTACTCGAATAAAAAATAAAATAAAACCAATACGAACAATCCAAACCATTAGAAAAAATTTGAAGTCCTAAAAAAACAAAAACGGTATAGGCAAAATAGTGTAATAAGGCAAAATAGTTGAATAATATTTTAAAGGTATTTACTGATTCCTTTTGAACAGATATCACCAACTCCATTAGCGGCAAAATCACAGAGTATCGACTAATACAGATTTCCACCGATAAGCCACTTATCGGCCAATTACCGATGTTGAAACCGATTATCGGATCATCACTATTTATTGGATTATAACATGCATTATATTTGATCTTTTTCTTGCAGTTTATAAATGTGTATATTCTTGGGATTGGCGAAAGTTGATCATTATCAACTCATGCCATATGTCGTGAACAAAAAAATCAAACTGAACTTTCTTCCACGTCCAATAATAACCAGGGATGTGCCTAC